GACGTTTCGTGACCTAGTGTAAGTCACTTCTTCAGAGAATAAATAACTAAATTAAAATTAATCCAAGTTATTTATTCTCTGAAGAAGTGACTTACACTAGGTCACGAAACGTCAGAAAATCTAATTTTCTACTCATTGGGATATTACAAATATATTATTTGTTTATCCACGCAGATTGTTTCGCTTACACCAGGCTTCTTGCTGCCAGTGGCTCGGATGAGTTGGAAGAGCTTCCGGCAGTTACCAGATGCAGCTGCTGCTTCCAGCTCATTAGCACGCTCCGACCACCAGGCTTCTCGGTCCTTACGCAAGCTTTGCCCGATTTCATTACGTAACAGTCGTCGGTTGTGGTCAGACTCACGATCACCCGGAGTAGACCGACGGGCTTCGATGAGTTGTAAGGAGCCTGAAGAAACCCAGTGCTTATAAGCGGGACGTTTCGCGAACCCACAACTGACTGTACCCGCCATTTTCATGGCGTCATGCAATTGCAATCAATGCTCATCTATACTTTTGGGTGGAATGGTATCTAGCCTACAAGCTAGCTCGGTTCGATACTTACTAGCAACAGAAGTTGCAACCAACTTGCTGACATCAATCTTTTGGTGGTGGTCACTTCGTTGGCTACTGAAAAGTAAGGCAAGATTGGCGCAGACCAAGGCATGGTCAGAGTCCAGATATGTACTCCAAAACGAGCGGCAGTCTTGTACACAACCACGACAGCGGTAGCTGATCGCGATGTGATCAATCTGAGTCCAGGCTTGAGATGCAGAGGGAGGACGCCAGGTGGCACATCGGCGATGACTGTGCCGGAAGTTAGTGCTAGCCAGAAACAGGTTGTGGTCTGTGCAAAGTTGCAGTATACGGTCCCCGTTATCTGTTCTGCGACCAACAAGTCCCCATCGGCCACCTAAACGACTCTCTTCTGTGTCTAAGACGCCCGACTGAGCATCCAAGTCTCCGGCTATTACTACAATATCTATCGAACGCACTTTCTGGAGAAGAACAGATAACTGGTGGTAGGATTCATCCTCGATTGCATCCGGGCTGGAATCTCTCGGAGCGTAGGCGGAGATGACGAAAAGACATCGTTTCTCACTCCGATTTCTCCTCACTTTGATGGAATTCTCTAATGCAACAGCACATAACCGACTGTTAATGGGGATCTAATCGATTAGTGCTGCCTCAGCTCTAGAACTTAATGCAACACTTAACGCCAGCAAGAGCAGAAGAAAATGCCACAGGGTCCCCGGACAAACGCACGTAAAACAAGCTCTTTGAGGCGACAGATGGAGAGTGAATTTGTAGTACTTCACCTGAGTCCCTCCGGGGGTTACTGCCGGTCCCAAGCCGGGATAAAGGAGGAGGGTTGGGTATGGGGTTAGCGTCCCATTCCGTATATAACCAACTCGCTAAAATATGCTAAGTAACCAGAGTCTTGAATACGGGTCTCGGATAGATAATAAACATCGATATTGAGACTTTCCAAAGACATAGCCACCCCTATCTGTTGTCCGTCCTGCATAAGTGTGCGAACGTTGAAGGCAGCCAGTTTGAATGGTGCGCGTGGTTTCAGAAAAAGTGCTTCAGTATTCGTATTTGGTGGTAACATACAATTTCCCACCAGGTAGTGACTCGAGAACGTTTAGATAGAACCGAGTTTCCACCATAGGCGAGCTGCTGTATAAGTCGAAAAATAAGGATACAGAAAATGGGAATAAAAGAGAGTGAATAAATGACGTAGTAAATAATAATAATAATGTGAATTGTTTGACTGTAAATCGAAGCGAGAATAGAGTTTTCAGTAAATATCGTCATTTTCATTATATATTTGTAACTAAATGTCCGTTATACGCATTTTCATCCGCATATTTGGTTCGTGTCCAAATTCAAACAGACTTTGTTTTGTATGTTTGTTTTCATTAACATGGTATTTCTGTCATTTAAAGACAACTTTTAGCGATAAAGTCATCGTTCTATTTTCCCTCAATTTCTGCTTGTGTTTGATATCTTACGTAATCATGCCTCGTCAAAAAATCAGGAAGACTTTAAGTCTTAATTTGGGCTCGAATAAACCTTTAGTCAAGCAAAGCTATTCTACTGTAGTATTTAAATTAATGAGTGAATGTACAATTGTGACTAGCCGTTTACTACGATTACGATTCATCGATTTTAGCGATTGGGACGTATTACTTATGTTACATAACCGCCTACGTCGATTTAAACAACTTTCTACATCAACTTTGTAGTTTAAACAACTTTCTATACTCAAGTCTCATATTCGAGTCCGGCAGCATATGCATTAGCATAAACAATCTACACAAAACGTTCAAAACTAACTATACGAACAAGTGCTTGCGGTGAGACTATGATTTATGGACGGCCTTTGAGCTAAGCTAAATTGACCTTGAGTGTTCACCTAATATCTATGACCATATGAGGGTTCTAAACCGGTGTGCGAAATTAGAATTATGTTTTACAGTTAATGAATAACGTTAGGAATTAGGTTTCGGATTTTCATCACGAACTGACATCAGCTATAACGCCAAAACTATTTAACGAAATTGGATGACTGAATTTCGCACCAATATCCGAGGCATATTATCATATACTTTATTGGTTCGTCCATAAATTATAGTCTCGCTGTGCTTGGTTACTGAGTTAAATTAAACTACATTATGTTGCTCCATCAGGTCCCGGGTAACATTCTTTTTTAAAATCCTCCACTTGTACTTGAAAAATATTCACCAACAATCATGTTGCTACCCAGTACTTTTGTATTTGATGGGTTAAATGAATATTATGTTTTATTTCTAAAGTTAGTGTTTATATTCGTCAAGCCATTTATTTAAAATTGAGTGAATAACGCAACTGTCATCCATATTAAAAAAATAGTCTTCTTAGTCTGGACCGGACCGTAGCTGCTACATTGACGTGGTAGTTGGACCTGCCTATCGGTAACTCACGCGAACCATATTGGATGAAACACGTTCCTTTAGGTCCTACCGTCCCAGCCAGATTGGTTGGAGAGCGGTCAGATTAAAAGCAGGAACTTAAGGTCCGAGGGGGAAGTATTGTAAAAGGGTGTAACATCAGGAGGTTGTTCCCCTCAGACAATTAGCGTCTTCAGCAATGCTGCCTTCCCACAACAAAAGGAAGGGGATAGAAAAGACTGACCCTAAGAATGTCACACCTCACCTTACCCCACGGATTTCCGTCTCCGATAGGAAGACCTTTTAAAATGCAGAGCTAACTCATCAAAGGCTTTTTATAAAAAAGGCCGTGGGTGACCAACTTCAATCAGTTATTTCTTGGGCTCCGTGGTCACGCTCCCAGATTGCTAGGAGTGCCACTACCTACACTTCCACTGATTGCAGCTCGGTTGAAGTTAAAGATGAATTTTATGGGAGACTATCCAGCCTCCTTCAATTAGCTAAACGCCCTTATACAGTAATATTGGCAGGTGATTTTAATGTTTATGTATGTAAAGGAAACCAAACCAAAAGGCAATTAGGTAGGTCTTTCTGTGCTGCGGCTCAGCGAACAAATAATGGCGACCATGCGTTGCAACTATGCTCGACTAAATGTTTATTTCTACCTAGCACCATCTTTAAGCAGTAGGAGAAACATCGTATGACATGGCGACTTCATCAATCAACTCACCGATTGACTCAAATAAATCACATTACCATTAGCCATCATTGGAGGGGTGTATCGAAGACTATCGTTCATCATGGAGCACATGTCTAGACTTAGATCATGATCCAGTACGAGCGCGTATTTGTGTACATCTTACTGGACGTAAAAAAACCACAGCAAGAAAACCCCTTAGAATTCAACTTAATGATAGAAAAAACTTAGGAATATATTTCAATAACCACTAGGAAAGGAGTTAGTCAACCGTTAGAATGCTATCCACCGCAATGTAGCTTGGTACGATGTACAAAAAGCTGTGGAAACAAAAGTAATGTTCACTAGTAACTTAAAACAAAACGTTACGAAAGTCAACGGGCTCTACAGAACTGACAAAAGCTCGGAAACTCTTCCCGTCTAGCTTCGAACACAATGAAAAGTGGAGGCAGCTAAAACTTAGGCTGATAAAAAGCCTACTTAATGATTGTGAGTAGTTGCGGGTAGCGACAGCGGAAGTGGGAAGGCAGTAGCTATAGTCAAAAGTAGACAATTGGTATAGACTACCTGGGTGGGGTCTGTGTGGTTATCGTAACCATTGGTTAAAGATTTTGAATGACATTGCTCAAAATCGTCTGAAATGGCTCAGGCGCATCCGCTCCTTATCTTTCCCCAAATCCTGACATTTTGAATTCCTCATAACATATTTTTTTATTTCGCTAATTTATGTTTTCTGTAGTCGTATCCTCGATGCCTAATCTTTCCTGTTACTACTGCCTATATTATTCCGGGTTTCAGCCTGACGTCTCTATGCTAGTCGGGTATGGCAACTCAAACCGGTGTACATACGTACGGGTATGGGATAACTATCGGGATGTATGCTGTACGGATGTCATTCCAGTGACTCACACTACGTACTGTTTGCTGATGCCGGGATTAATGGACGAAAGTGGAGGCGGTCAGTTTAATGCATCTCTATAAAGTGGAAGATTACTGCATATATGATCTGACACCTTTTGCTGCACCAGAACTTCCTAGTTGGGGCATTTTCCTTAGAGTTATTATAAGTTGTGATGTAAGTGTCCAGAAATGGAAAGAGCTTTTGTGTTCGGATCTTGTTTAAATGAATGGTTACACGTATACACATTCTGTGTACGAATGTTGTTAACCGTTCCAGGCTGGTTTTCATATACATATTACGTTAAAATATAACCATACCCGGTCATGTACGTTATGAACATTGAAGAGTGCTATAATAATACGAAATAATCTTCGCTCATGTTTAAAAATAATCTTTTGTGACTTTTTGCAGATGAACTATCATTATTTCATCGGTGCATGTTTTGCTGCTCTTTTAAAAATTCTAATAGCTGTTAACACGAGTTTTCGCTCAGCTTGGTGATTTGAATCCTGAACTTGTATCAGATCAGAAAAGAAAGCTCGTAATGGTTCCTCCTCAAATGGCTCGTGTTGGGACCAAAAAGACTCTTTTTGTAAATTTTTCAACTATTTGTCGTTCTTTAATGAGAGATCAGTCTCATCTCACAACATACATACTAACTGAATTGGGTACTCAGGGTTCAGTGGATGCTAACGGTGCTTTACTTATTCGTGGACGTTATACAAGTAAACATATGGAACCTGTGCTGAGAAACTACTGTAGTAAGTGTCATGATCTCTAATTTTTAAAGTTGATTTCATTATTTTTATTGATAATAATAGAAGTACGTGTTAGTTATAGAACCTCGGTCCTATGATTTTTGTAAATCTTTGTATATAACTGAAATGTGTGCGAGCTTGTCTAAAATAATTTCTATAATCTTCGGTTCCTCATTATTAAGCAGTTAACTAAATCCATTCCTATGTTCTGTTAATATGTTGTCGATTATTTTTAGATTATCCCAGGTTCTGCATCGTTAAGTTATACAAATCGTTGATTTACGTAATATCCTGGTAATTTGATTCTACTGTTCTCGATATTTTAATTATGTCAAGAGATAAACTGGTTATTGTCATAAACAACATCTGAAAATTCCAAAACGATGGATTTTTTGTTCGAGAATTGAACGCTAGCAACGACATGATAGTGTACAAAATGTTGGTTTCGTTTTTCACCTTGATCCTGGTGTTGAATCAGACTGAGAAGCCATCCCTTTTAGTTCAGAATATTTTACATCCGTATATTAAACATTTTTTGTGGGATTAGAAGTCGGAAGGTAAGGTTGTTCTTCTCATCGTTTTCTACTAAACTCGATATGAGAACCTAAAACAAAGAAATTCTTGATGTATAAACTACGTAAAGTGGAGTAATGCTACAGGCAGTAGTAAAGGACATAAACGAAAAATGACTACGTAAACACAATTCAAACCATTCTTATAATTGTTTATATAACAACAAGAAAGTCGTATTCACTTTACGTTCCTGATAACCTCTCAATACACTAAGTTATGTTAGACACCATTCCCCAAATATCAGTCCATATGCAAAGTTACGTATCATATTTCTTGTGGCATCTTCTTCTAGTTCTTGTCTCACTAAACGCCAGGGCTGAGACTGCACTGATCGATCGGATTTGCATCAACATTCAGTCATGTGTTGTTAGATTAGAAGGCTCCATCAAAATGAGTATTCGGTGTAAGAAACGATGTCTTTTCTTCATCGACAAGCTGCATCCCGGATGCGACCAAGGATGAGTTTGACCACCAGTTAATAGTTCTTCTACAAAACGTGCGTTCGACAAGTATTGTAGTACTAGCCGTATATTTGAATACACAGGTCGAGGGTCTTGGTACACAGAAAATTCGTTTGGGTGGCCGATGAAGACCTGTTAGTCGCAGGCCAGGTAACGGTGACCGTCTACTGCAACTTGGTGCAGACTACAACCTGTTTCAAGGCTAGCTATTAATCTACTGTTAGAATTTCTCTTATTACAACCCAGCTATTACTATTGCTTAGTATTCTTTGACGCTAATCCACTCGATAAGTCTCCAAATCAGCACACAGTTGAACAGGAACGAAATTATACTCTAAGTAACGATGGCAGATGGAAGTAAGAAGCACAATAAGAGATACGTTTGTATATTTATGGTTTTTACATGACAATATTCTAGAGTCTTCTCCAAGTATCGACTGGTGTTGATTAAATAAGAAATAGCCAATCAGCGCGCACCAACACAATCGTGTACGAAAAGTGCGGCTTCGCAAAACGTCCCGCGCATAAGTGTTGGGTTTCTACAGACTCCTTACAACTCGTTGAAGCACGTCGATCTACTCCGGCCAACCGCGAGTTCGACGATAAATGAGGATTGTTACATAATAAAATTGTGCAAAGTCTGCGCAATGATCCAGAAGCCTGGTAGTCGGAGTGAGCTGAGTTGGGAACATAAGCATCTTCTGATAAACGCCGGAAGCTCTTCCAGCTCATCCGAGTCACTGGCAATAAGAAGTTTGGTGCAAATGAAACCATCTGTGTCCGGGAATTAAAGTGTTTCAACATAGCGAAACGAGTCGATTCTTATCCTTATCTTCAAAAGAGTTCGCGTCACCTATGCAACAACTATCGATGGATAAGTCTACTTCCGATTGCTTCCAAATTATTGGCTCACTTCATACTTCGCAGATTGTTCAAAACACGGGAAAGACTGATTCGCTAGGGGCGAGTTGGTTTTCATTTTGGTTGAGTATGTATTGATCACATATATTTCCACCTTCCGCCAAACTTTAGGACGCCGTCATGCCTATTGCAGCGCAACGCGTCGTGACATCAGGCCCACCGTCAGTCAGTTAAACAGGACACGTTTCTAGAATTGTCTGTTAAAGGAGAATCTGCCTGGCAAGTTTATTAACATCTTGAGGGCCCCATATACAAACACCTCAGGCAGTGAGGGCATACCACCACCTCTATCAATTGTTCCATCCAAGCAGTGAGTTTGGGCAGGGTTGCCCAGTCAAAACATTCCTCTCCAACTTAGCCATCGATAAAGTTTTAGAGACAGCTCTGATACACGTAGGTAACGGTGGTTTTGGTTTGTAACCTGGAGAAAGACTTTTCAACCCTTAGCATGCGGATGATATTGTCTTACTGCGCGATGATACTCAAGTCATACAATCCACACTCAATTAGTTGGCAACCAATATCCGTACGTCTGGCGTGTGCTCTGCACCTTCTAGGCGCAAAGTACTTTTACAAGACTATCAGGACGCTAAACCTGCATTCTCTCTGGGTCGTGAGCAAGACGAAGGAAGTCTAGAAGTGCGTGTATCTGGGTAGCTACGTAAGTGCTGGCATGTTTTGAGATAGGTAAAACAAATAAACCTAAATATGCTATTGATTAACGCAGTCACAGTGCAAGTTACCAACTTAACAATATGAATATTTATTGGTGCTTTGAAAATGTTCACAAAGTAGCCAGTTATTAGTTTCGGTTAACTGATTCATATTTTTCGTTACAGTCAACTTCACGTTTTCGTTTTAAGGAGATATGTTTTATTATAGCATTCGGTCATCAAACCTTCCCTAATTACATTTTTTATTATTCATAACATATTCTTGCTTCTATTTACTTTTTTGTTCAGGAACTTACGTTTTGTGTGGTACCTGCCAGTCTTCTGAAACAGACCTATGCAAAGACTCAAGACTTCTTTTCCTCCACTGTCGGCGATGTGGATCTCGTTTCACCGTAAAAACAGTGACTTCCGGATTCCAAGCACTGACAGGGAAACGTGCTGCTTTGCGGGCAAAAACACAATGACGATACGTTAACTGTTCCGGATTTTTTACCTAAAGCACAAACTATCGAAATAAAACGCTATTTTATTTCCAGTAGTATTCTTTCTAGTACAATATGCGAAGATACTTTTGTTTACGCATCTACTAATTAGTTTCAGCAAGATTCTTAAACTGTATTAATATGAACGCCTTATACTTGAGGACGTACATATAGAATTCCAGGTGTTATATTTCTAAACATTTGTTATGACTACCTTGAAGGGTGTTGGTAGGTAGATTTAATTTTAAACAAATAATTAGAGATTTATTGCACTAATATATATATATATATATATATATATATCGGCAGAGTGGATGTAATTAAGAAACGAAACACGTCTAATCTATTAGATCTGCGCCATGAACGATGAGTGGAATTCTCATAGTTGTGAGATTTACCGTCTGGTTGGATACGAGTAACGTTCCAACTTATTCCCGGATCTCGGAGGTAGAAGTTTGTTTCTATTACGGCGAGGTTGATGGGAAAAACAGACCATATTTAAAGGCCTCCAATGTCACTGGGTTGTTTAGTTCCCAATCATTTGAGACTCCATTTCAAAGTGAAGGCGTCCTCCGAACGATTCTGTTCGGAATATGTGTAACGATCTGAAAATAGTGTGTTTACTTCATATCGGGTGACGCACGTTAACCCACCTAGGGCTTACATCCAAGCGGTTAGCATCGATCGTAAAATACTATTTAGTCCATCCATCCTATGCTTCATTGTGAATCTCAATGGTCGAGTGCATGTACGTCCATCTGGAAGTTTACAACAGGTTCAGTGTACCTACAATTGTCATAACGTTGTAGTACATTCAGGTTCACGGATAGTTAATGGAATACACAAATTGAGGAGCTAACAAAATGCGTCCATTTATCTTGTATTTAGAAGTGTTCATTCCAATTTTTGGTACATTCTTAATAGATGGGCACCAATCGTTCTACACGTCATAAAAAGTGAAATTGGTTTACTAGAATCTTATACCGCTTCTAAAGCACCTGTGATGCTACTTTTGTAAATAAAGTACGGTACTGCAAGAGCGTGTAGCTTCATTACGCAGAATTAAATCGGTCAGTTTCAATAATATGTGATCTAATTACCGTGAGATTAGCTCTAATGTAGTTTGTCATCAAGGAATATGTTTGGTTGAGTGTTGTACTTCCTTGTTTTGCTGATGGTCTACAAAAACCCTCGGAGTTACTTTGATGTGAAATCCATGGATATCGTTTTAAGAAAGTAACCAGAGTACCTAACCACTGGAAACAGATTCACCCATAGAAAAGCGAATAGAGCCTGATTCATTGTATTCATAAAGGAGACGAGTGCGAACTCTGACAAACTACAACTGTGGGATCACCAACAACAGTACGAATTGGGAGCTTGGGGATAGAAACGATGCATTCTTGAGATATTACGCCACCTACCACCGAGTAAACTCCGCCTGTAGCTCTTCCAAAGTTACTGCCGTTCCCAAGCCCGGGTAGAGGAGGGTTGGGTGTGGGGCCGGCAACCATAAGCACATTGAACTATGCCCTCTGAGTTGAAGGGAAATTTATGACGCCGCATGATAAAAGCCGAGATTAATCGGAACTCACGAGGCCGATGCCCCTTCTAACAATTTTTATAGGTATATGGAACGTCCGAAAAACGTGGAGGACCAGTTAATTAGCAGCGGAAATGAGATACAACTTGGCAGTATGCGGAGTCAGCAAAACCCATTGGACCCAAGCTGGACGGAAAAGTCTAGATACGGGAGAGATACTGCTGTTCTCCGGTCACGAAGAAAAAATGCTCCACAGAATCAGAGAGTTGCTCCTAGGCTGTCTAAAGAAGCACGAAATGCATTTATAGAGTGGGAATCTCATGGAGCCAGGACCATCAAAGCACTTTTCAAGAAAAAGAGAAGAAATCACAACGAATGTTATTCAGAAGAAACTACTACGGAGAATACTTCGAAAGGGATCAGAGAAGCTCTAACTTCGACGTGTCAGGTGCCGGGCTGCAAGAAGGATCATACGGAATGATTCTCTATCGAAACCCTGGAAAAAATTCAAAAAGGAAAAAACTAGACAGCAAATGAGAACAACCGAATAAGGACAGAAAAAGTCAAGATACAAGGTGAGTACATAGGCAAGCAGGCAAGTGTAGATGAGCATTAGAGCCGATAAGCAGAAATATGTGAAACACCTATCAACGACAGTGGAAAAAGCTGCAACGGAAGGAAATATGAAACAACGAAGAAAATAGCAGGAAAATATATTAAACCAGAGAACAGTCAAGGACAAAGAAGGCAAATCAATCACCGAGATTCAATGACAGAAGAACAGATGGGCGCAACACTTCAAGGAACTCTTGAATAAGCCAGCTCCATCGAAGCAGCACACACCAATCTTCCTAAGAAGTCAGCATGGCTGCCAGACAAACCAAGAGTGAGGAAGCAGCAGAACCTGACAATATACCAGCTGAAGCACTTAAGTCAGACGGAAGTAACTGCAAATATGCTTCACGTCCTATTCAAGAAAATTAGGAGAAAGAACAAGTTCCGATGGACTGGAGAGAATGGCAACTCATCAACACACCAAAGAAACGAGATCTGGGTAAATGTGAGAAATATAGATCAATCACACTACCATCAGTACCAGAAACAACTTTCGAAAGTCCTGCTAAACCGGATAAAGATTCAGTAGACTCCCAGCTTCAAGACCAATAGGCCGGATTCCGTAAAGATCAGTCATGCACAGATCAAATCGCAACACTACAGCGAACCGACGCATTCCAGGTGCGGACCGGAGTCAACCAAGATAGGTAAAGACAAACAATGTAGCAGCATCCTCCGCGTCAGTAGGCCTCAACATGCACAAGTGTAAAAACAAGAACCCCAGGCACAACACAGGGAACATCAACACAATCTCATTTGGTGGAGAAGCTTTGGACCAGGTGAAATCTTTCGCGTACCTGAACAGCATCGTTGGTGAACGTGTAGAGCGCTAACTTGGGATCGTGAAGGGAAGCGAGAACGAATAAGGTCAATGAGCACATCACTTCGGGAAATAGAAACAGACATGAAATTGATGAAAAGCAACCGGAAAGGATTGACCAAGACAGCATTGCATGGAGAATGTCGGTGGACAGCCACTCTACGAGAAGTGACAGGCCTAAGTAAATCTCATCGAGTCCTAATATCAAACCAGCCTTTCAGGATATAAACACGCACCTACTGCAACGTCACAAAGTATGTCTATCTGCATCTTAGATTCCACCGATGCTAAATTCCCCAAGTATACTTAGAAAGACCAGTCTTCCGGTGGGTGCATTGGAGTCCAGTCTTCTGATAACGAAACTTCACAAAAACCACCTACCTGGCCAAATCTCTATCATCTCAAAAGCGTACTGGGGTATTTGGTTGAGTTTTAGAAACGAACATGTCTAAACTAATTCCACTGAAAACACCTTGTCATTCTAACAAAGTTACGATGAACAGTGACACATGGCTCAAGTATATTGGTGGCTTTCTACAAACGCAGCTATTACCAATACGATATATTGTAATATCCATGGTATTTGAATCAAAATGAGTGCAGTCAAGAAACCACATTAAAATCTCATAATAGGTTTTTGCATAGCCTTGCGAAGATATTACTTCTCACACTGAGATAGTCAAATTAACACTTTTCATGGATTTTTGTACATATATTTCATAAATTTGAACACTCGACTCAGACTGATGGAATTCAGGGGCGGTTAAAGTAAATCGTGGGACTAGTCCATAAATTCGCTAACTTCTGGTACGAGCCATGTTGTTAGATGCAGACCACTTGGTTCGGGTCAGCTCGACTACTATAACCAGTGGTTGGAAAATGGGTGACATGGCACAGGATCGACCACAGTGGCGTAGGTGTACGTACTCTTTGTCTTGCCTTAAACCGTGAGATTAAAATTACTTTATGCCCTCCATTCTACCAAATACTCCTTTCCGCCTCGATTATATCCTTACATGTAAACTTTTTTGCATTACTGGAGTAACTGCTATGAATTCGGTGCTGATCTTGTTGCGCTAATGAGGTATGACAACTTGGACCGACGCATATATGTGCCTGGTCCTAAGTTGTAGATGACTAACTGACATCCAACCCAACTAACGAACCTCATAAACCAGAACTCATCAAAACAGTGTCGAAAGCCATGTATCGATACTAAAATTATAGGATGTTTCAACCTATGACACGAAATTGAAGTTATACGTTCATCTTTACTTTGCCCGAAATTACAATACTACTGTACACAAACCGGGTATCCTTTTTGTTCAAATTATTGGTGGCTTGCTCCTAGTTGCCCAAAAAGATAAGCTGAAGCAGAAAAAATACTAAGAAACGGGACGTATTATATTGGCTTTATTTTGAAGTGCAATCCAATTAGCGAGAACACCAGACACTTCAGGTCCTGAACTAGGTAGTAATATGTTCTTAATCCTTCAGGATCCCTTTGTTTAAAATTAGATTAAATGAGTCACTCACTTGCTATTCGTAATGTCAATCAAAGATCCTATTTTCGAAGTTGTGAAAGATATGTGTTCATCGCCACAAACAATTTCAAGCTCTTGACGGCCAACTCTATCAGGTACTGGCCACGAAGCATCATCTTCCGACATAATATCGCTCTCCAACACGATTCTCTTCAGTTCTTCCATTACAGAAGGGCTTACGTACGCCTGGAGTATCATTTGAATTAAAAAGTAATGGTACCTCTTTCCGAATCATTGTGTCATTTTTATAATTAGAGTTGTTAGCATATCTAAGCTTGCCTAAAAAAATCTTTAAGTAAGAAAACTGTACCTTCAGGTCTGAACTCGAACTCAAGAAATTCATGTCCAAACTTGCCCTTATGACCAACGTAGTATCGCAAATAAAATGAGCTTGCCATTGGTCAACCACTGTTTTTGGGATTATCTCTATGTTGTCTCGACAGACGACCAGAATTTTTTCGAACACTACCTACATATAAAGAGACGAGAGTTAATTGGGTTGTAGTACCAAGCAACTCGAGTGATGAGTACGGGAGATATTGGAAATACCTAATTTCGTACCATACTGATTCATATAAACTGCCAATGTGTTTGAAGTAGTAAGAATGTATATTACATATAGAAACGACATTCAAGATCTGCATAAAACGCAACTGTCATACGTGAATGAGGTTTTGGGAGTTACTTCTACCAGGAAAGGTGAAAACGATAGAACGTAAGACAAGGTAACACATAATTCCCGAAAGGAATTCACTCATGATGTGAAAACACCTCTTTGAAAAAGTCCTTTGCGCCTGACTAACACATAAAATATGCTGTTCTTTAACTAGATTTATAGTCAACTGATAGATCTCCCTTCTATTATATAACGACGAAAACACAATAAATACCCACACCCAATCGTCCAGACAAATCCCGCCTTACCAGACAGAACAATGTCCACTGCCGAAAGTACGACCTTGACAGTTGCATTAAACAGTTAAGACATTATGACGTTACGAAAACTTAACCCATTCATTTATTATTTTTCCTTGTTGAATATATCCTACGTAAAATTACATAGCATATAATTACTCGTCATCGCGATATTATTTTGTTTGCACAGTGTAAACAATTGAATACCACTATAATAAGCTGTCATGGTTCGTTTACAAGCATATGAGGCATGTGAACTATCTAGTGTGTTATGTTTGTTCAAAATATCAACCACTCGTAATTCCAGCTCCCAAGTATTGTAAACATACGTATTCTTGCAAGATCTGCACATAATATAGCAAGGATTAGATCAATCAACAACTGAAAATACAAATTCTTGCTTTACCACTAAAATTTCTGACCCCAAAATACACTATGAACTGGTTTCTGTTATCTTTTCATAAACCACCTGCTTTATTCATAACTGTTGATTATCCTTCACCGCACGAGAAAAAGCATGCCAAAAGCTTACGGTAAGCTTGGATTATAAAACTTTTGTGATCTTATATCACGGTACTTTATCCCTTAATATGTTGATATTCTACCATTCTCTGCTTCTGGGTCTATTAGCTTCTAAATCATTGGATACCAAGGGTTTCGAAAAAATTTTTGTTGAAGACTAGGTATTTCTGACCGCTGCGATGCCGTATTAATAATCAACCGCATCAAACCTAATAAACTGCGAAACTACGAAACTAAATCATTCAAATTTCACCATTGCTTTTGAAAATTGTTTACTGTCTTTCTGACTATTCTCAGCACAATTACCATGCGCCACCATTATGCATACTAATTAGTAGTGATTTTTTAGTGACATGCAAAAATGACTGCCGTATACGAACAACACAAGTGATTAATATCTTTGAGCGAACATGACAAATTTGTAGTGCTATGAATTTTGAAGTTTATCCATCGGTACCGAGGTCGGGACTTATTACTGTTATTATTATCTGTCCGGCCCTGCCGGTTCGTTTGACTTGTGTCTCATGGATCAGTGCACGTGTATATCGTGATTGAAACAATGGGAGGTAACATGCCAACCAAACGTATCAATGTTCTTTGTTGAACTTATTAATTTAGAGGCTCACATGAAGTTTACTTGTAAAGGGCAAAAGATTTACTGTGCAAGACGGTGTGGTTCGTGACTGTTAACGATAAAATTGTGACATGAACAGCCGTTTATACCCTTTCATCACATTAATTGTAGAATATGTTTACAGGATATCATCCCAGAGTTGAATATTGACCATTCGTATATCAATCTGGAAAACGCCGTTGGACAAGTTGATTTATTTGGTTACCTGGTAGGTGATGTATTGCTCTCTTGCGATTATCATTGCCCAGCACATGTGGTTTCCATATGTAAGAAGGCAGGTCTTGTTTCAAACGCATTACAGCATAATCAAACCGACTTGCGATCTGATGACACAGTCATTCTCTCGAACCATCAATCTGGGTAGTAGAGTGATTCTGCTGCAAACCGTATACGACAATGTCACACCTGCTTTGAACCTGACAGTGGTTTACACCGATATTATATGCCTGAAGTCAGAGTAACAATCCTGGTTACATCTCACGTTGTTTTCGAAAATTGTTGAATATTTAACGTTTCAACTGATATTCAGCTCTCCCCGTTTATCGTCTCATCAAGATAAACTTCAGGTTATAGATATATAATCCATCACTATGCCACCAATATTTGTGGTCTCTAGGCCCTCTTGATTGAAGCAACTTTTGACAACCAGTTTGTAATCAGCGGTTAGAGTATAACAGAAGAATGAAAAAAATTCACGGGTCAGAATTGTGAAAAACAATTGTTTATCTGACAAGTATGAGTGTTACGTTTGAAGTGATTACGAGTTCACCTAGTTTGTGAACGGAATAAAAACTATGGGACCAAAAACCAATAAACTAGCTATTATGATGCGTCCCAGCCCCGCTAACCAAAGAGAAGCTGAAGTTCGAAAAAGGGGAAAATATATTTTGCAAGCAGCTAGAAGCTCAAGCAATGAGACAGGTACAAACCAAAAGTTTATATACAGCGTAAAAGTGTCTATAAGAAACGCTACGAAGTGGCATACTAAAAGATACAACGAACCAATAGCGTTTAAGACTCTCCCAAGTAGGAAATATGACATGAAGCTGAAAATGGATGCTTTTTGCACGAAAACAAGAAATTCACATTTTTTAAATAATATTGGAAAAACAAGGTACTTATTAACTGAGTTCTGGCGATCTAACAATGAAGAAAAACGCAAAACACCACCAGAGACCAAAACCTGTTCCCAGCATGACTTTGGGTTGGTAAAACATCTACTAAATTAGCTAGTATCTCAGAATATTTCCTCAGTCGCCTTGTTAAAGGTGCCTCGCTGCTTCTTCATTAATCCTTTCTCGGAATCTTGCTTTGAGTGCACATCTATGGACCTTATGATGCTAGGAACAAACTCGGTATACGCGTTTTCTCAAGGTCATAGTTCACAACAAGCGTTCCAATAGTCGGCTTTATAATAGTTTACACGACCACAATCCCAACACAATTATGCCGAGCTTGGATCTGGTGTTTAACATGGACGCCATGACACATTGGAAAATACTTTAAAGACTGTACAAACACATAGGATAAACCTGATGTTTAACGCTCGAAGACATCTGCATGAATGTACTATTGTTCAGTTTTACTGATTATATCTATTGAACAACCCTACATGGGAGCCAACAAATGTTGTAATTTTTAGATAATGCCTGTAAAAATGGTGAGTACCTGCCCTTACAGAAATACATTATTATAACCTTGTGATCATCATGAAAATTGTTAAAGGACAACAACTGATCACGATTTAAAACGACAAACTGTAACCTAATATTACTACAGAAAGGAATTCGAGGCAAGATAATAATAATTTATTCTCAAATGACACTTTGTTACATGGGGCATACCAGTTTAACGGGCAAGATCAAATTGTTACAAAAGATACAATTTTTACCGTAGTAAATTACACGGCTGGGTTTATATTTTAAAAGATATGAATGTAGATGCTTTTATTAAGAATCGTATTTTCAGTACCACATTTGTCGCGCTCTATGAAGGTTGCGTGGCGACGTGCAACAGCAGCAATACAGTAATGTCGTGAAATGTTTTGCGCTACTCCATGTCTAGACCAAAATGGAATTCAAGTTCAGCCTGTCTTATTTTTCCTACCTTGCAATTGTATTAGTTAGTTCTTCCACCCTATTTCTTCACTTGAAGTAGAAAGGTAACTCACTGGACCTATCGATACTGTTCAACTAAACTCGGTCGCCAAGGGACACTCACTACCACCCTAAAATGTCAAGAGAATCGCACAATCGACTGTCTACTACCAGTGATCTTGCATATATGGAGCCTGTTACCCATCAACTGGTTAGGTCAACACAAAATAACGTCAGCACCAAGTTGATGTGGGTTTCTTCCTGTTTATCCTGTATTAGCTTTTTACTCTCCTGTACACTATATTGGCTAGCAATTTATATTATTTCTCCACTCGTTACCTTATCTACAACTCATATACTTCTATACTTTTCCGCCTGCATTAATAAACAACTACCCTATATTGTACCCTTCTCGGTGCTTATACTCTAATCAAACTATACTTTATACTATAATCAATTAAAGCACTGCCTTACCCACAGTCCATAACTTGTAACTGCCTGATAAGCTTGTAAAACGGTACTTATAGAGATAGTGTTTTCCAACATGTTGTGGAACACAGAGGATTGTGTGAGGTATGACATATATCCAAAAGTAAGCTTAAATGAGCCTAACATCACAAAAGGAGGGAGGGTGGAGTTACTGACCACCAAGCATTGATGATGAGGGCGATGACTTCGACCCACCCATGTTTATGGGGGCAGAACATTTTGTATGTATCGGGTTCTTTATAACTGAGAATAAGTCAATCAACCTGTGATATAGACTGTCTTCCTACGCTCACCACTCAGGCTAATGTTTCCAATTTTATGCTGGATTAGCTATTCTACTAAGACAACCTATAACATACTAACTCGGAATTTTACACTAGGATTGTATTGCCGTCATCGGAAGGACAAAAACGAAAAGAGAGAAAAAATAGAGGACAAAAGATATAGTCATTAGTATTCTGAACATTTCACCCTCTATATGCACAGCCCCTTCTAATAAACCGCTTTCC